AAAGCACGATAAATGTTTAACAATTGAACTTTTTAAAATTACTGTGTTGTTCTAAAACATGTCATATCATGTATTTTTTCGCCACATAAATTCAATTAAATTAAAATTTTTATTTTTTAAAAACTAAGCGTCATATTGAAATAATTTTAATCAAAATTACAAATTTGAAGGCATATTCTACATAAAATACTTAATCAGTCTAATTTTAATTTAGTTGATTTAATTATTTAGTTTAATTAGGTTAATGAGTTGAATATTTTGGAAAGTGTTTAAAAAAATATATAAAAAATCTAATTTATTGTTTTTTTTGGCTTTTTTTTTTCTAAAATGTGTAAAAAAAATAGAAAAATAATATGATCTAAATAAGTTAATAAATCGATAAACTTATTTTTTTTTCCCTAATTGTCAAAAAAGGCCAATTTGACATGACAAATAACAAACTGTTTCGAGTGGAAACATAACTACGGAGATGAGAAGGGTCGGGTATTAGATGATGTAAAAGGATTGTTTGGTGCGATATCTAAGTTGTTTATAATTTCAGTTATTTTAGTAGTTTTGTGTCAGATTATTTTGTATAATTTCTTCTTAAAATTTATTAGGTAAAAATAATTTAAATAAGTTAAAAAAAATATTAACTACCTAAAATCAGAAAAGAGTATTTTTGACTTTTACTTTCTATTTATCGACTTTTAATTTATAATAGCATTCACCAAATAGGCCAAAAGCCTATTGTCATTGAAATTTGCGGTGGAAGTTTTATGTGTAAAATGGAATTGTAGACCAATACCAGTTTTAACAGTCTTGCTATAAATGGAAGAGCTTAAAATTTTCTAGTTTTATTTGCATCATAAATAAATTTTTCGTCGATTATGACTAGATTTAAATTTTTTTATTATTTCTTATTGTTATTATTATTATTATTATTATGCAGGAAAATTTTGGAGGTTAAAGAGAAGTTAAAACAAGTTTTGAAGATTTAAGGAATTAAAGACACATGGCACTGTAAGAAAAAACACTACGAGAAATATTGGTTATGCCGGCGCTTATATAACAACGTTTTTAAAAACGCTGCAGAAAGGTGGTGCTTCTTTCAATAAACGTCACGTCACTCCGTACGAAGAGGAAGGCCTGTTGCGTTTTTCTATATATCAGATAAAAAAAATATTTTACAAAATCCCTCTCTCATAAAAAGAAGCGTGAGGGAGAGATGAGGGTTTTTACTTTTTAGTGAGAGAAAGTTTGCAAGAATGGCGTCTAGGGTTTGGATCTGCTGATTTTTCTTCGATTTCTCAGTAATCATTTTATTTAGGCTTTGGATCTATGTGTTATTCAATTTCCCTCTAATTGATTTGCGATTTGCCTTTGAAAGCGAGGAGTTATAGACGAATCGAAACTATTGGTTCGATTTCTACACTTCACCGTAAGTATTAAATTGAGTTTGTTTTGATCTCACTTTGTCGTGTTTCTTGATCGATTTCTGTCATGCTAATCTATTAAAATCTGTATGTATCAATTTCTTGTTCTTTCTTGGGGTTTATATGATTAGAAACCTGGTCTCGAGAACTCAAAGCTTGTTAGGGTTTTCGCTAATTTCTCTTAGAAATACAGGGATCTGATCTCAAAACTTGTATTTCGTGCTCTATTTGCGTCGAATCGATCCCGATGTTCCCATGGTTCAAGAAGAAGAGGCATCTTAGAACTAACAGGTTTGATCTCGAAGCCTGTGTTCCGATGGTTCGAGAATGAGAGGTCTCTCTCTCTCTCTCTCTCTCTCATAGTTTGCATATTTGATTTGATATAATCGACCAAATTTTTCTGATAGTTCTTCTTCTAGCTGGAATTATTGCTTCTCAATATTTTTTTGATTTGCTATTGTAGTAGGGACTTTCCAGATTTTTTTATTTGTATTTTTTATTTATTTGCAATGAGATTGGTCCCTCCAGACCTGATCTGTTCTTCCAAAAAGAGTCAAATCCACTCAAGCACCACTTCCTCTTCTTCTTCTACTATTTATTTATTTATTATTATTATTTTTGTGATAGTTGTTTTATGCTATTATTTTTCTCTCACTCTGATTTTCTCTTTTCTTCTTGGATATTCATTAGTGTAAACTGTTTTTTTTTTTTTCTTCTTTTGCAGATCGATGTGGTACTTTAACTGGTTTTAGTAATGAGGTACTTATTTGGGTTGCAATTCCAAGTTGTTTCCTTATTCATTGTGTGGAAAACATTGAATGTGCTGGATGATTTCTAGTCTCTCTGATTCATTCTCTTCTCTATTCTTTATGATTTCAATGCAATATACAGTGCAGACATATTCACAACTATATATTAATGGGTTTTGAGGTTTTCTCATCTAATCATCTGATGGAGGGTTTGATTGATTCATATTCTCGTGGGAATTTCATAATTTTTATTGGGTTTTGGGATTTGAGTTCCTTCCCCTTTTACTTTCCCTCCATCCAAACAAAGTCTTACTATCAAATAGGCCAATTTGAACACGCATTTATTTATTCTAACATAATTTTCTCATCACATTTCTTTCTTTTCTAGGCCTTTGTTTTTTATTTTCAACCTCAAGATCCTGAAAATATATATGTAGCACTTGCAGTTCTATCTGGCAGAAAAATACAAGGTATGCCCCTTGATGTTTTTAAATTTTTTGTTTCGTTTTTCGTTTTGGTATTGATTTTTTATTTATTTATTTATATATATATTCATTTTAGTTGCTAACGTTTAATTATATATATTCAACACAAATAATACTAAAAAATTTAAGTGCAAATGGCATGCTTAACTTAGGAAGTTTATTAAAATAATCAATATTATTATTTATCATCTATTAGTATTATATTCACCCAAAAATCTTTTAGTATTATAAAGCCTTGTCTTTTATTGCCAAAAAAAGGTCAATCTTTGTTAGTGTTTTTAGAAAGATAAAGGTTTTGTTTAGTTTGAATTTAAAAAATTATTTTTTGAAACTTTAAAAAAAAATAAAAAATTATCACCTCTTGATCCAGGTATGAATTGAAGATTATCTACTCTATTTCATATTTTGATGATTTCAAGTTGCTGCCCTTAATCTTTAGAATTTCCAAATATGCATTGTTGTATTACAATAAATAATATATTCATGGTGCTACTGTTGGTACCTAATAATTTATTAAGGATCGATTTAAATGTTGCATTTGAGATTGTTAATGTTAATTGTTTCTCTAATAATGTACTATGTGCTTATGGAAATTATCTTGGCAACATGTTTCACTTTTTTTTATGGAAATTATCTTGATGATGATATTAGAAATTCTGTTTCTTACGTGGGTAATCATCATGGATATAGAAATTACTAAAGTCACGAGAAGTTAATAGACGAAACCTATTATAGATTTCTCCCGAGTGGGAACTTACGTAACCCCCTCAAATATCATCTAATGTTGAAGGGTTCTCTACCGTTGATGTCCAATTTATAGGAGGGTAAACCATAGGAAGATTGAGTTTAATAGGAAGGAGACTTGAGTCAATTTAATGGATAATAACCCCTCTTCTTAGACTTAGAAACTGGTAATGTATCCGTGTGCAACAGAACTGATGATTGAAGTGTAAAAACCAGTTTACTTGAAAATAGGAGATGAATCAAATTTTACATGTGATGTGGTTTCAAATTTTACATGTCAATAATTTGGAATTAATATCACCTTCTTTGAGCCACTTAATCTTTTAGCCTTTTGACCCTAGAAAATTTGCTCCTTAAAAATTTTCCTTTTTTCTTGCTTTTTCTTGGGATATGATTTTGTTGTTGTTAAATGTTAACTGAGTCAATGAATACATGGTGGACCAGTTTTCCGAGGGGTCACATAGCATAATTTCCAGCTACTTGGGAAAAAAGGCATTAAAATGGAAGTTATGGAAGTACTCTAATGCAATTAAAGGAGAGATAGCGAATATCTTTTGATTCCATATGTAAGTGATCAAGTTGGATTATCTTCATTAACTTCACCTGATTGGGATTTGATCTAGCAGTAATGGTTCTAAATTTTTCATCTGAACATGGTTCAATGCAGGTATAGCTGTGGCATCTCAAGCTTCTTCAGCTAATATAAAGAAGAAAACAGAGAAACATGTTGATGATGGTGGTGGTGATATAGTTGAAGCAGTACCAAACCTGAAGTTGCTTCAGCATCATCATTGGGAGGTGCTAATTGAAGTTTTCAAAGACGGAAAATTTCGTGATCAGGTTAGTGATTTCCCCATCATATGTCTAATTGACCAATTTTGGAGGATGGTGCTCTATTGCCCGTGCTTGCTTTGTGTCATTTAGTTGAGCTGTTCTATTTGCTATGGTATCCATTAGAAGCAACATCCGAACATGTATAAAATGGTTTGTATATATAGATATGATCCCCCTCAACTTTAAAAACCTACCCTTAAATCCCCTCTACTCCTGTTTAAAGTGAATACACAGATGGCCTCAACAAGAAATGATTCTCACTCAAATTTAATGCCTTTGTTCTTATCTTTTATCTCACCCTCCCATTTTCTCCCTCGCTGTACCTGGACTATGGATTTTGTGGTGTGCCTTTCACCTGATTCAATGAGGCCTCTTGAATCTGATGAGTAGTTCATGGATAACGTCTATATAAGTAGTTCCCCATGCTCATTTTTGTGGTAAATTAAGAATTTTAGAGGGACATATTTACTCAGCAATTATGCTGGTATGACTTTGATGTTGAAGTGCAAAATCCTCAAGAGCTGTGTTGATTTTACTCAGCAATTTTACATTTTATTCATGTTGATGGCTCATTACAGGGTTTTTGGTGTGGCAATGTCCCAGCACTCCTCATGGTTATGCCATATACTGCCATACAATTTACTGTGTTACACAAATTGAAGACATTTGCAACTGGTTCTTCCAAGACAGGTTTGTTAAACAACTCAAACAACATCATCAGAGACACAACTATATTGCACTCTTTGGCAATCTATTCCTTGGGATAATTAGATGTTACCACATACAACTAGTCTTTATTTTGTTTGCACATAATCATACCTTACCTAATAACAACTTCATCTCATGTTTCTTGTAATGAATTAATAATACATTTCTCATTAGAAACACATTCATTTCTTATTCTTGTCTTTTTGGCATGTCCATAATTCATCTGAGTCTTTAGATTTCAAATATGCTCATTTTATCAGCAACTGTTTTCTTCCTTCTGTGCCATGAAAGCAAGACCAACCTTCTACCAGTTGTCTTCAATTTAATAAACATTCATAGAGTTGGAAAACACTAACTGCAGCAAAACATCAACAAAGTTATGCAAATAGAGACACATTTGAGAGTAACAACTAACATTTGCACCAGCTCTGGCCGAGGCACTTAGGGACAGGGTGTTTGGTGTGGATGATTTTGACATACTTCTTTCATATTTGTAGGAGATGAACCTGTTGGTTGAGGCAGATCAAACCAGGAAATCAGTTGGATGATTATATATCTAGATTGAATGCAATCCTGTCCCAGAAGGCTGCTGGCATTCTACAACTACAAAACCGTTTGGCTCATTTTCAGAGACGTCTAAAGGAGCATAATGTTCTAGTGTCTTGTACTGATCGCTAGACCAGTATATGTAATCGTTTTCTATGTTGTAGATTTCTTTCTTTTTTCAGTGCTCCAAATACTGTCACTAATATAATTAAAATAATATTAAGATTTTTTTTTTTTTTTGCACAATGATTGTGGACTATCATTTGATATGATTTTATTATTTGAGAGGGAGTTATTATTTTATATTAGTGTTATTCAGTTTTATTAGAGGTATTTTTTTTAGTTCATTCGCATAAAATTAGCACAATTTCAAAAAAAAAAAAAAAAAGGGATACCACGGCGTTTTAAGAAACGCCACCTACACCTATAAATCTAACGGTCATATTTTTCAAAAAAAATATAACGGCGTTTCAAAAACGTCGCTAAATATCATAGTGACGTCATAGTACTGTTAAATAAGACATTTGGCGGCGTTTTTAAAAACGCCGCCTATACTAATATAGCGACGTTTTTCAAACGTCGTAAAGTTATAGCGACGGCCGCGTCATCGGCGTTTGGTACTAAACGTCACAAAAAGAATTAGCGACGTTTTTAGTACTTATAGCGGCGTTTTTTAAACGCCGCTAAAAGTGAATTTTCCTGCAGTGAAAGATGAAAGATTTAGGAAGTTAAAAGTAGTTATTTAGGTGGCTGTTAATGAAAGTTTTTTTCCTTCATTTTTTCTATAAATTGTCATTAATGGCTCTATTATAAGGATTATTAACAAATCAATACATGACTTGATTTTCATTCCTTTTCTATCCTAGGAATAGATCTAATCTACATAAAAGCAGTATAAACTTAGATAGGAATAGTCTTAATGTACTTTACTTTTATTTGATTGTTCATTCAATCATTTACATAATCATATTCTTCTTCTTTCTCTCTTTTTTCTTATTCGTTTTGTCATTATTTTTACTCCAAGAAAGTCCTTAAACTTGCAAGACATAGAACCTTAACACAATTGCTTGATCATTGTATTGTTTGATAAGATTTTGATTAAGGCTCTGTTGATCTCAATCTAATAAAAATTTTACAAACAAGTATGAAGAGCCCTTTCTGTTTTTTGATTGTAAGGCCTAAGATGACATTACATAGAAGCTTTGGCATCATAAAGTGGAGCCTTCATTTCTTCTCCAAATGTTCCTTCATGCAACGCTGTGTTTGGATCTTTTATTTACTTCTCATTTCTTTCGTACTTAAATCTTGATGCAAACATAATCTTAAATTCTCCACAATGAGATGCTATCGAAATTCTTATCAGTACTTTATATAAGATTAGGTCATATGCTCACAACCCCATTTTTGTTAACACTGAAGTAATGGTGGCTATACCTTTGAGATTAGGCACTGTTTGGTTTGTGGAGGAAAAAAGAAAAGAAATAAAAAAAATACACAAACCACAAGTGACTATGCTGGTTCTATAAGAGATGACTCAATACTTGTGAGCCAACAAAGTGTTAGGATTAGGAACATCCAAAACTCAATCATACACGCACACATAATATATAATTTACGTGTTTCGACAGAATGCTTGCGTTCACAAAGAAGAAATTAAGTTTTCACTAAAACAGAGCAATTAAAAACAAATAGAGGAGGAGAAAAATTCTCTCTTAACTCACATCTCTCTCCCTCTCTCTCTCTCTCTCCAATTTTTGATACAAATGAGCTTCCCCCTTCCTCTCTATTTATACACAAAGTTGAGAGGTGTGAACACTTAGGCTAGCAGCTGTTTCTTCCTACGGCTGGTCGGTTGACAGCCTCCATTCTTGACTTTTTGAAGCTTCCATTCCAGCTTCTTCCGGCACCTTGGTAGCCTCCAACCTTGACTTCTAGGAACTTCCAAAATGGTATGGATTGGTGTGGATTCACAACAATTCTCCCTTTCCACACCAATGTGCCCAAACGACTTCTCACTTAAAGTCCATCCCGGTCAGATTCTTGCAAACCTCCAGTTTGTCTCTGGTGACAACCTTGATCATCATGTCAGAAGGATTCTTTTCTGTGTGAATCTTCACTAGCTTCATCAGCTGCTTCTCCATCACTTCTCGTATCCAATGATATCGGACATCAATGTGTTTTTGTACGAGAATGGTACATGGAATTCTTGCTCAGATCAACTGTACTCTGAGTACCTTGTACTCTTCCTACTGTAAACCCAATTCTTGGAGAAACCGCGTCAACCACAACATTTCATTTCCAGCATTTGCGACAACAATGTGCTCTGCCTTTGTTGTGGATAAAGCAACATATTTTTACAGTTTGGATTGCCATGAAATAGCTCTCCCTGTAAAGATGAACAGAAATCTTGATGTAGATTTCCTACCATCAAGATCACCCATCATATCAGAATCTGTAAAACCTTCCAAAATTGGTTCAGCTCCCCCAAAACATGAAAACATCTTTGAAGTTCCCTTCAAGTACTGGAGAATCCATTTGGTAGCCTCCCAATGCTCCTTTCCTGGATTGGCGAGGAGTCAGCTCACAACACCAACTGTGTGAGCTATATTTGGTCAGGTACACACCATTGCATACATCAAACTTCCTACTGTGGAAGAATAGGGGATTGCCTCAATTTCTCTCCTTTCAGAAATGATCGTGGGACATGAACGCTTTGTCACCTTGAAATGGTTAGCCAGTGGTGTGCTGACTAGCTTGGCATTCTTCATGTTGAGCTTTTTAATCACCCGTTCAACATATTTTTCTTGTGACAGCCATATCTTCTTGGCTTTCCTATCACGAACAATTTTCATGCCCAAAATCTGTTGTGCTAGGCCTAAATTTTTCATGTCAAAATATTGCGACAAGTCTTTTTTCAACTTGTTTATCATAGTAATATCTTATACGGTGATCAACATATCATTGACATACAACGGTAAGATAATGAAGTTTCCATCCGAAAACCTTCGGAAGTATACACATTGGTTTGCTACCGTTCTTGTGTACTCGTGATCCACCATGAATGAATCAAACTTCTTGTACCATTGTCTCGACGCCTGCTTCAAGCCATAGAGACTCTTCTTCAGTTTGCAGACTAGATTTTTTTTTCCATTTAACTTCAAAATCTTCTGACTGCTCCATGTAGATCTCTTCCTCCAAATCACCATGAAGAAAGCCAGTCTTGACATCCATCTATTCTACCTCCAGATTCAAACAAGTTGCTAATCCCAAAGCTACTCGAATGGAAGTCATCTTCACAACTAGGGAGAATATCTCATCAAAGTCAATTCCCTTCTTTTGCCCAAAACCCTTGACAACCAAGCGAGCTTTATGTTGAAGCAGTTTCCCGTTGCCATCTTTTTTCAACCTATACACCTATTTGTTCTTCAAAGTTTTCCCGCCTTTTGGAAGTAGAACAAACTCGTAAGTGTGGTTCTTCTGCAAAGAACTCATCTCCTCCTTCATGGCTTGTATCCAACAGTCTTTCTCTAAATGACTCTTTGCTTTTGAAAAACTCTCAGGCTCCTCTTCATTAGGTATCAGAATATACTGAGAAATGGGATATGTGGTTAATGACACAACAACTCTTCCTGATCTCTATAACAGAGGTCCATCTGCTTCTAGTGGAGGGGGTTGCTCCTCTTGCTCAACACCCTCTTCATCTGGTTCTTCATCTATTTCCTCTTAATCCTCAATTTCTAGCATTGGAGCTTGAAATTTTGGCACTTTTGGTTGCACCCTATCAAATCTAGCATGTTGTGATGGTTCGGGAGATGGAAACAAGTCTTGAGTGATAACAACTCTAGACTTTGCAGACTTCTCAAAATCATCTACAGTCTGGTTTTCCTGGAATACAACATCTCTGCTCCTGAACATCTTCTTCTTCACTGGGTCCCACAACTTGTACCCAAATGCTGTATTTGAATAGCCCACAAATATGCATGGAGCGGACTTGTCATCAAGCTTCTGTCAATTTTCTTTGGAGATGTGTGCAAATGCCTTGCACCCGAAGACTCGCAACTAAGAATATGATACCTTTCTTCTGGACTAGACTTCCTCAGGTATCGCAAAATTGAGCAGGACTGAAGTTGACAACAGGCTGTATGGGCAGCTTCAACCTAGAATAACTTTGACAACTTTGCCATTCTGAGCATGCATCTGATTCTCTCCACAATAATTCGGTTCATCTTCTCTACCATACCATTGTGTTGTAGGGTGTCGGGAACAGTTGTCTCGTACTGGATACCTCTACCAACACAATATGCTTCAAAAATATTGGAAGTGTACTCGCCACCATTGTCTGTACGAAGACACTGTAACTTATTCTCGATCTTTCTTTCCACCATTGCGTGGAACTCCTGAAAGTATTGGAATACCTTATCATTTGTCTTCAGGAAATACGTCCACAACTTCCTTGATACATCATCAATGAAAGTC